TCTGGAACGAACTACCCCCCGAGATCCGGATGATTCCGGATCTCCTTACTTTCCGCCGCGCCCTCAAGACATGGCTTTTCCAGCAAGCGGGCCTGACCTAGGGAGGATTTTAGGTAGGGATGATTTTAAGAAAATTTTAATTGACACACAGCTTCCAATATTTGGCTTTTAATTTGGTTTTATGGGGTTTTTTTGTTTTGTGATGTATTTTGTTTGTATCTGTTTTAATATGCTGTGCACCGCCCTGAGTCCTACGGGAGAAGGGCGGTATATAAATTAAATTATTATTATTATTATTATTATTATTATTATTATTATTATTATTATTATTATTATTATTATTACTTTTTTCACCATTGAATTTCATTTTGTTAGGTAGTGCCCAATGTTCAAGTTCTGTTGAGATCCTCATGTATCTTAAGCCTATCTTCTGGATTGTTGGCTATTCCTGCCAGCTTGGTGTTGTCTGCAGATTTGATGAGTTCCCCATCTATCCCCTCATCCAAATCATTGATGAAGATGTTGAAGAGCACTGGGCCCAGAACAAAGCCTTGGGGCACCTAAATTTGCCACAATAAGTAGTTTAAACCTTGGTAAGTCTCAGCTGGCCCATATGGTGATACCCAGCCTGTTTAGCCACTATTTCCATCCTCTGCCAGTCTGCAGATGGTCATTTGGTATCCTGGTTTGAGATGCCTAGTTGCCTTATTGTTTGGATGTCCTCTTCTCTCAACAATTACAGCAATAGATTATGATCACCAAGTAGAAGAATATATGTAATTCAATGAACTGCCATAAAGATCACTGCAGCCGTAATTAGGTCATGCCTATGATGAGATGGGTGCCACAAGCATCTCACCTTCACTTTCTTGAGCACCTCAAACCCTTCTATTTTGCCAATTCGGAAATGATTCAGATCAACATCCTAAAAGGCAGAAAAAAAATGTAAGAACGTAAAATCAAATTTATTTCTATATCAGGAAGATACAGAGACTTAGCAATGTATATATGTGAAGGAATTTACTCAAAACAAATGTATTGACAGTATAGACAGAAGAAATACATTTATTACATAGCAATGAGAATATTTTCAGCTAAAGTCCTCCACAAGAGGTAATCCATCTATCCTTGTTAATTGTAATTCATGCATTATGCAGGGTATAGATGTTTAATCTAAACAAAGAACATTCATTCTGAATTCCCAGCTTTTCAGCATCTAAAGAAGAGTTAGTAGTATATACCAATGTATTTCAAAATCCAGATTTGTCGTCTTGCCCATTTGAGAGAATTCTATCAAATTTCTTGAAGAAACAGAAATATATAGATACTGCTTTCAATTTTAATTTAAAATTGTTATGTCCTAATTGTTGAGAAATTGTTATGTCCTAATTAATCATGCATACTGCCTATTCTCCCACTCAATCCATTTTTTTCTTTCTTAAATCCATTTTTTCTTTCTATTATTTATTTACAATCCCATCGTAAATGCTACACATATTGCCAATGAATAAGTTATTCCCTCGACACCCGAAGTGGTAAAAGAAGTAAGAAGTAAAGAAGAAGTTATTTATATTACTGAGGTTTGTACTGCCTAGCCGCTTTTCCTCCTGATCCAACCTTCTCTTATAATACAAGGAACATATTTAGTGGTCACAAAATATGACTGACTGCTTCAGGGAAGCTTAAAGAAGCTGGGAAGATAGAAGGAGGTTTGAATAAAATAAAATTATCAAAACTGTTCTGTGTTAGTTAACTGGGACAAAATTGCACAAAATGTCATAACATTGGAAATAATAAAATAAATCTTTAAAGAATAAAGCCAGATATCAACATGGGAATGACAGATGTGGAACATTTTTTTTCTGACAAGACAAAGAAAGTATTGAAAATGGAATTTAAAATAATGGGCCAAGAGAACAATTTGGAAAAGGATGTTTTTTGGGTGGGAGCTTGCTAGAGTTTTAAAAATTTAAAGGAAAATACAAATGGCATACCAAGAAAATGTTTTCTTATTGGATCTAACAAAAGAGGTTTGTTAAATCCTTGATGAAGTATAATGGGATAAAGAAGAATTAAAGAAAAATCAAATCTTATGACAATATTTGAGTGCACTAAAAATTAAGACTATTAGAAATAAAAGAAAGGAATATAAAGCTGGTTTATTTGATCCAGATTAAAATAAGATATTTATTTGCACAGTTCTTACAACCTTTTTGCTGACACTAGAATTGAAAATTCGATATTTTATGGATTTTCTTATAGATAAAGGATGAGATGTGGGATGAAGAGATAAATGTTTGTAATTTTAGAAGGGGTGAAGAGTTACTCAATTTGTCTATACTTGTAATGAAGATTGGAAGGCACTGCTTTATATATTTCTTTTCTCATTTTTCTTTCTTGTAGTTTTTATTCTATTTTTACTATTCTTTTTCATTAAGTTTAGCTTGCATTAGTTTTTAGTATTGTAATTAAACTCTTAATAAACATTAAATGCAAAGTAGTTTAAAAAATAACAACCCAGGAATTATTCTTTCCTAAATTTCAGAGATGTATCTCCAAAGCTTTTCACATAAGCCGGTTGTGTGCAACTGTGGGTTTCAGTATGAAAGTGACATTTACAATACCTCAGCCTCTGGATCCAAGCTAATAGTTTCCATATCCACTGGAATTTCTGATTCACCTGTAAAACAGCAAGCACATCCTGCATAAACCCATGGTGTTCACCAACCAAAAGCAAATTTGCAAAGTGAGCTCTTCTCCAAGAGAAATTAAGCCTTAGGGCAAAAGGAAAGCTAATGGATTTAAATTTTACGGTTGTAATGGAAGTCATATAAGCCCTTCTAAGCTAATGATCACTTTGGCTAAATCCAAATATAGAGGAAGAAATACCAACACACTTGTGGAAAATGTACATTATCTAATATTGAATTCAATTAGGAAGCAAGAACTAACTCAAATGACTTAATAGTTAGCCGAGCAAACAATAAGTATCAGAAATTTTAAATTACTCTTGCATTCTAGTTATCATCTCAGTTTTGCAGTCCTAGAAAGGACTGATACAGCATACATGTTCTTCCTGGATTAAATATTGCCAGCAATTTGATGAAAACGTTTCCTGTTCCGGAATCAAAAAGATCCTTACAAATTCTCTCTTTCTCAATGTGCTTAAGTGAAGATAAGCTCAGGGATTTCTGCTAGATAATTCAAGCATGCTCTTATTTGGCAGCTGGGTGGATTTGCTGTTACATATTTTTTGAGCAAAATACAACAGTGCTAGGCATTATAAAGCAGTAAGCCAGTGTTGTTCAGTTTCCTGGATTATCAGTGAATGAGCAACATGCACATACACACTGATTCACAGAACATAATATTAAAAAAACAAAAACCCAACAATAGAAGAACTACTGGGTTTTGTTCATCATTCCCAGTGGAAGAAAGAGTTTATTCATCAGCAAGTTAGTAGTTTACAAGTAGTCCTCAACTTACAACTGTAAGGGAACTCAGAATTTCTGTCTTAAGTCAAAATAGTCATACATTGAGAAACCTATGGGACTGGACCAGTTTTTATAATTTTTTTTGGTGGTGTTTGTGAAGCAAATCTATGTATTCTTATTGTTGTTTTTGCCAGAACCAGCAAAACCTGGTGTAAACTGCGGTCATGTGATTATGGAGTGCTGTAACCTGCCTTAAAAATGAGGCAGATGCCAAATGCCCCCAAAATGGTCATGTTACTGTGAGTTGTGTGCAGCCATTGGAATTCTGGAACTGGCTTGTAAATAACTTTTTTTGGGGGGGGGGAAGGTCCATTGTAACTTAGAATGGTCGCTATGAAACCAGTTGTTAAGTGAGGATTACTTATAATTACCTCTTTTCATGTATCTGATTATGTATTCTGTAAAAAAATATGCAGATATCTATTGAACATTAAGAAGTCCCTTATTCTTTTAAACTGCATGCTTTACACTTCTTTTCATATATTTACATTATACCAGCTGTCTGGTTTTTTTAAAATCTATTTCTGGAAACTGACTTTTACACCTTACTTACCAGCTAGTAATAAAATAAATATACAAGTATATATATACATGTGTATATATGTAGCTTAATTTCTACTTCCATCTCTATTATATACTGTACCATCACAAATTAATTCTGTTTCATGTCATTAGGGCTTATATTTATAAGGGTATTTGTTAGGTTAATATATTCATTACAACTGTTTTTATGTAACTTTAATAAAAAAAGCTAAGTTTACAAAAGCAGTATAAAATAAATGTATAGTACTTATATCAATCAACACAATAACATCACAAAACTTTCATCACTAGCACTGTCCATGTAGATCCAATATACTTAATATAATTTATATCTCTCTCCCCAAATGTTTGCTCAAATAACTGTGTTTTCGGTAATCTTCTATATATTAACAATGAGAGTCCTAATTTTATTTCTGGGGAAGCTGAAGGAGGAGGAGGAGATCTGGCAAAGAAAACCTCTGAGTCATCGCTCACAGTAACCTTATCGGAGTGGAGATTTGGCAGAGTAATCCTGATGTAAAATAGCCTAAAAAGCCTCTGTAACATTGAGCAATGTTGAAACTGTATTCTCTCTCTCTGAATTCTCAAGAAGAACAGAGGAAGTACTGCTGGTCAGCAGAAATATACAGTAACATATGACTCTATTTGGGAAAGCAGTCAACATTTTACTTTGAAATAAAAAGATCCAAGATGCTTTGCCCCCTCCAAAAATATCATGGAATTATTTAGGCTTGCACAGTCACTCTCCTTTGAAAATATTGGATAAAAGAAGATACAGGTTTCACATTAATTGGCATACAGAGCAACCACTATAAAGAGATTATTATGTTTGGTAAGCCTAGATGTAAAGGGTGACGAGTATGCATATAAAGCAGCAATAACAATTAGTAGAGATACTGCCAGTCACTGAAGTATGGGACACGTTCTTTAAAATTTTGATTGAAGAAGCAGCAAAAACTTATTTTGTTCTTTATGAAAAGATTCTTCTATCTCTAAGTCCCCAATTTGTTTGATTGATAAGCAGTGACCAGGAGTGGGATTTTCTTTTCAAATAGCTTCCTTGTAAAGGATATTTTAGAACAGAAACCTGTTATAGTCATATGACATGTTGGGCTGAGACAGTATTTCTGGCCCAAAGTCACACAGACAGCTTCTGTGACTCTTTACTTTGGTCTCCCCACTTGTATTTCCAACATCTTAATTAAACCATGAGTCTTAAAGACTTCATGGACATAACCATGTAGTTTTCTTGGCAACAATATGGAAATGGCTTGCTATTTTTGTCTTCCAGAATGTTTTTTTAATCTTCCCAGTCTAAACTACAGGTATGCATTTCCAGTCAGTCTTCCACTCAAGAATTAATCAGGACTGATATTGCTTGGCTTTGTGAGATCTCTCACAGTTGCTTAGGTTCTGCCATCCATTTAGAATCATCGGTGTTAGCTAAGCAATAAAATATTCTTTGTACATTTGTAATATACAAATCACTTTGTATATCCTTATACTTTTCCTATTCATTTGTTCTTTCCACTTCCACTATTTTGTGTTGTCTGTCATTTGAACATTGAGCTCCACAGTATTCTATTAATATGTATGAATTATACTAAGGATAATTTTATTGCTAGCCATGATGAGTATGCCTTTCTTATGTCAAAAGAAGGAATTCAGCATAACCAGTTAAGTACAGGCACAATTACAGCTGGAATGTGAGTATAGCAATAACAATAACACTTAGACTTATATACCCGTTCATTGTGCTTTACAACCCTCTCTAAGCGATTTACAGTGTCAGCATGTTGCCCCCAACAATCTGGGTCCTCATTTTACTGACCTCAGAACAATGGAAGGCTGAGTCAACCTTCAGCCTGTTAGGATTGAACTGCTGGCAGTCAGTAAAATTAGCCTGCAATACTGCATTCTAACCACTGCACCACCAGTTAAAGATAGTTACAGATAGTCTTTGCTTAGCGACCGGCCCTTCAGCAACCATTAGAACTTAGGACAGCACTGACTGAAAAGCTAAAGAAATATGGGATAATGGAGATGGAACAAAGAGGAAAGGATACTGAGTTATAGAGAAAAAAGAGAGATCAGGACTGAGGAAAAGGAAAGTGGAATAAAACAATCATCTACTTATTTTGTTCCTTGAGCTTCTTAAAAGTGTACATAGATGCTTACTTTAATATACTTTTCACTAATATATTTCAATTAAGTATGAAGTTGAATAAAATTTTGATTAAATAATAATTTCTATTATTACAAACTCTGCCCCATACACCATCTTCACTTACCGAACAAAATGAAGTGAATTATTTTTTTAAGGAGAAACAGTATGAAACTCTCAACTCTGAAGGAAAAAGCAGCAGGTGAGATTCATTCTGAGGATTTAATCATTCTGCTAATAAAATGAATCCATTCAAAGCAACTGCTTGACCATCTTGCTAAGTTTTATGCTAATACATTCATAATTAAAACTGTAGCCACAGTTAACTGACAACTTGATCACCATACTGTAAAGACTGAAAACAATTTATGTCAATCCTGTAAGTATCAGGCAAAATACTATTAAGGAGGTCAAATTGTATTGCTCATGTGCAAGAGATGAAATATAGGCTGCAGTTCCTAATTTCAAACAAACTCTGCTAAAAATAATAGATCTATTGAAATAAAAAAAACTTTACTGGAACTTTATGTGGCAGATTATAAAATTTTCAGAATTCGTAGAATTCAAAAACATGTAACAGGGAAAAAGTGATGTAAAACACATTTTTATGAAGTACCAGTACCAAAAGTAACAGTTCAATTAAGTATCAAAAGTGTTTCAGTTATTCTATTTATATTCAGACTCATTTATTCTTCCATGATAATTTGTTCATATAGCTCCCACTAGCACTGTAGCCAGATAAACAGTTTTTAAGGCTCTTTGAGATTTGGCCTAAACACAAAGAAAAAACAACAGTGTTTTCTAAGAATATGACCTCTTGGGACTATGAAATATTAACAAAAAAGTTGGGCTTCAGGGTGGAGGAAAAGGAGTTTTGGAGTCACATTGACAAATACAAATTCTAAAGTGTTTCAAAACAATTCTGTACCTCTTAGAATGATATCAAAAAGAGCTATTAAGATGGAATAAAGTGCAACTGTTTTATCAGGTAGAATCTCTAATTAAGATGAATGCTTTACCAAAGATGTTATTTTTATTTCAGATTTTACCAATATTTATAACTCACGCTCCATTTAAACAATGGCAAATGGACATTTCTAAGTTCATATGGCCAGGAAAAAAAACAAGAATTAGATATAAATTATTGTAAGATGCTAAAGAAAGAGGAGGTTTGAGTTTACCAGATTTGAAATTGTACTTCGATGCTTATTGTTTGGTCTGGCTTAAAGAGTGGGTGATTCTCCAAAATAAGAGACTACTTTATTATATAAAAGCAAAAAGTTGAGGCTAAATATTATTACCTTATTCTACTGTGCTAAAAGGAGTTGATTTACATGAAAGTGGGACATGACCACTGAAGTAAAGACAAGAATAGAGAAAGTTCAAACAGCATCCTTCAAAATGAAAAAGGTCTTCTGCAGTCACGACATAAGCCTAAGACTGAAAATCAGGCTTGTCAGATGCTATATTTTCTCTATCCTATTCTATGGAGTGGAGAGTTGGTCTCTGACAGAAGGCCATCTGAAGAGACTAGAAGCATTTGAAATGTGGATTTACAGGTGGCTGTTACGTATAAGATGGGTTGACAAGATCAGAAATGAGGAGGTGATAAGCCACCTGGGAAAGCCAAAGGAAATCATCAAAACAATTAAAAAACAAAAATTAGAATATTTTGGACATGTGATGCGACACCCAGAAAAATACAGCATACTCCATTTAATCCTCCAGGGAAAGTTTTAAGGCAAATGAGGTCCAGGCAGAAGAAGAACATCATGGCTTCAAAATTAAGGGATTGGTTTGGACAAAACTCAGCAGCACTTTTTCATGCGGCTGCTGATAAAAACAGGATCGCCAACGTCCGATAACGGATATGGCACAAGAAGAAGAAGAAAAGGAGTTGGAAGTTAAGGCTTTCCTTTCCTTTCCCCCTTTTCCCCTATAGTTTTTCCTCTTTCCTTTTTTCCCTCTTACTTTCCTTTTATTTTTTTCTTTGTATTTTGTATTTTAATAAACTAACAAAAAATTTAATATGAAAAAAAGAAATAAATTCTGTGGAGCATGTCTTATCATACTGCCCTATGTATAACACAGGCAGAATTAAATTATTGTCTCTCCTTGGAATTGATCCCTCTGGTTCTAATGTTAGTAATTTGGTTTTATATTGTCTAGGGGATGGCTCCTCCTATATTACTTCTCAGGTTTCTAAATTTCTTTTAAGAGCTGTAACTATTAGAGGAGAACGTTGTAA